GCTTAGGTAAGCTTACAGTTTGTAGAACATAACTCATTTCAATAGCTTAGGTAAGCTTACAGTTTGTAGAACATAACTTGTTTCAATGGCTTAGGTAAGCTTACACTTTGTAGAACATAACTTGTTTCAATAGCCTAGGTAAGCTTACAGTTTGTACAACATAACCTAGGTAAGCTTACAGTTTGTAGAACATAACATATAAAACATACACTGCATGTATAAAACATGACACATTTAAGCAGTTAGTTGAGATAAGCTATATAAATCAATCACAGGCACCACCTGATGGGACATGTCAGTCATGATTCTTTTTTGTTTGCTCTTATTCCATCTGCCTGTTGTCAAATTTTGTCTCGCATAATACAGAAAGGATTATCAAGGTATATAGACCTTTATGTTTTGGGATGATCAGTTGTTATATTCTGAAAGTATGTCGAGATCATTACTTCCCCAATACACGTATAACATCTTGGAGCACTAAACCTTGTGCAGAGACACATTTTGGAATGGCATATATAGAGGATATCTAACAGTGTCTTCAATAATACCAAACATATTTCATATATTAAAATATTAGCCACATGAGTGAAAAATATCACTTGTATAGAACAAGTCATTTTCAATATTTTACTGGAAAAAATGTAACAAATCATCTTCTGAGAGTAAATCTGTGTTACTTTTATTTCACCTTTCATATTAAAAACCTTAACTATCACACTTCGGTCAAATTCAGAACTTGATATGTATTTTTGGGAATAACTTACACATGTGAAAATTTTTAATAAAATATTTAGCAGAATATTTGAACATGTCCTTCCTTTGTTAATAATAACTGAAACACCATAGCAATCAGCCTGCTGCAGTGTTTAAGATTTCCATTTTGTTACTTGATTGAAATATTGTCCAGAACGAGGTAAATGTACCGGTTCTATCATTTCTCACGAGACAACTCATTCTTATCCCTCTTTTGATTAAAGTGTCTCAAACAGTCTTGCGCCTCATGCATAAACTATTTCAGAGGATGAACATTTATCAGAGGCTCACAAACAGCAAGGGAAGATATTCAGTTCTTGATAGGTTTCATATCTTTCAGCAAATCATGTTACCATAAGATAGCTTTAAACTGGCACATTTGGCAGTAAAAGACATACAATCATGTAACTTGCATATTTCAACTGTGTAGATAATATTTCTGAGAAATATCGAAATCTGAAGAAATTTATATTCTGCTGTGGATTTTGTACAATGTTCTGTATCAGTTATTCATGTCTTTCCTTATTGACTTTGATTGCCTTTACAAGCATTTTTAATGTTTTCTGCAGAGGACAAGATAAAAGTGATCAAAGGCCTGAACTCGCACATTGAGTCCATCATCGAGTGTAAATCACAGCTGTTGGTGAGACTGCAGCAGCCATTTGTTGGTGACTTCATCAAACTAGAAGCCCAGTATCACAAGTATGATATCATCAACAGAACATTCAACTACAGCCCTAATAACCTCAGTATGGTCCAGTCTAATACCTGTCTAATTCTACAAAACCCTACATAACTTTATATATAATCATGTATATAATCACATTACACCCAAAACTGTATACAAATATTTCTTTTGGTTGACCTGATAGACCTATGTAGTCTGTAAATCTACCTTGACTATTCTGGCTATAATCATGTACATTACCTCATACATTTTTATTTATTACACTACCATTATGAAACATGTTTGATCAATTTATGAAAGTTACCTGATATATCCTGACAATGGAGTATGTACATGTAGGTTTCCTCATAGGTTCTGGTTATAGACATGTATTTTTTTGAGTTTAAGAAACATTACCGTCTTGTATAAGCACCAGTATTGTTTTAAAATATAAATAAGAAAAGTCAATTTCCATGAAATGTTTTTAACATTAGAATTCTCTAAGCATGCATATATTGTTGGAGATTCAAAGCTGTATAGTATGATTTGACACCGTTTTAAGTTTACAAGAAAAATTGTACAACACACTTATCTTGTGTAGAAGCCTGAATGTGTGTAACTTTGTATATTTAACATGACAGATTTGCGGCAGCACTGTTCCCCCAGATAGCTCCTCTGTTGGCAGACCTCAACACACATCTAGAGAACATCTCTTGGACCAAGAACCTTACATTTTCTGATGGGAAATTGGTAATCGAAGCTTTTAATTGATACTATATATACTTTTACTGAGGAGAAAAATTGAACTCAATGAATATAGTGATACCCTTTCTTTACAAGTCTGTCCTCTTGCCAATTACCGTAGCACTGGTTTGGTTTCATGAAACCTCTTAATAACATTTTCTCTTTATTTTAATTCTCCATTAGGGAAAATGATTCTTAAAATATGTGAAGAAATAACTCCCAACCTGAACTAAGGAACTTTCAGGAAACTGAGGCCTGGTCACAGTAATTTGTAACAGATTCCACTCCAACCATCACAGCAAGTAGGGATTGCAATTATAGATGTAACTTCACATTGTTAAAAAGTAATATTTGGAATATTTTTGTAAATGTTTGGCAAATTCCCCCATATAGTAGAAAGGGAGGCTATCTCACCAAAGGGAGGCTATCTCACCAAATAGCAAATCAAAGAACCAGTACGGAAAAGCTGAAATGGCTCAACTAAAACTATAGCCTATCTACCTCCAGTTGACAAATTGATCATGTTATAGGCCCAGACAGTTCATACTATGATTACACATGACTGAGCATTTCTGTAATAATTGCAGGATTTCCCTTAGTCATCAAAACACGACCAGTTTTAAACCACTCATTGTTGCGTTAAAGAAAGTTTGATAGCATGGTCCTCCTTGTAAACCTGTCTCAACAGAATTATTGTGTCTGTTTACAGGAGATAATGTTGTCCGAGCTGAACAGCATCCTGGCCACGCTGCAGACCAACTTCCAGTCCCTGTGTCAGATGAGGGGCAGCATGGGGTCTCTGTACCAGCATGACTCCCAAACAGTACCACATTAATTCAGTATGACTACCAGGCAGTGCAGCATTTATTCAGCATGACTCCTAAACATGGCAGCAGTAATTCAGCATAACTCTCAGACAGTGCAGCTATAACTCAGCTGGATTTGCAGATAGTTCATCAGAAATTGAGCGTGATTAAGTCCTCACCTTGTGGATACTGTGTCTAAATACTGAATGTAGGGACTGGTAATCAGGAGAACATTTCTTTTTAATGGAAGCAGCATTAGATATAGATATAGATTTCATTATAAAGGAGCAGAATTTCGTCATAGACAGGAGGGAGTAATGATCCTGTATAGAGGAGTATAAGTTCAGTTAAGCAGAGCAGCATTTTATGAAAAAGGAGGTGCATTTTCATTTAAATATCAGTTACAGGATAACATATTTGTTAATATACTAAATCTCCTCAATCTCTGCACTTTTCCTCTTGTACAATATGTATATATACATGTATAGGCATTGATCCTACTATGCAAGCATGAATATTTTATATTACATAATGGAGTGTATGTTGATGTTCAAATAAACTGTTTCAATGTAAGTTGTGTTACTATATGTTATAAATTGCCCCTTAGAGCTCTCACAGAGGCTTTGAATCGCTGTCAGTGTACCATGGGTATATAAGATTGTACATGTATCAACATGTGCATCCTCACCTGACTGTGTGTTTCTTGTTACTTTAGTGTCCTGCGTCAAGGTCTCAATTACATAATCTGGTTTCTCTTTACTGAAGCTACTTTCATTTCTTCAAGTTGGTGATTTTTACCACCTCATCACACACAACTGGGCCACATTTTGCCAATAATTGAAAGACAGAATTATAGAAGACTTTTAAAAATTCTTATACCAGGTAATAACTTGGTACTGGTGTACTCTGTATTAAATGCTCCTATACTCCTGGCATACAAAGTCTTAGTAAATTTGGTCTTACCATAGTACTTCAGAACACAAATCCTGAATGTGAGAAAGTTGACAAACAGTTAGCATCATAGCAAAAGGTCAGTTGTTTCAGCTGTTGAGTAATAGAACGGAAGGTACAATATTTGATGCAGAAATGTTGATGGCACCGATTACATTTCAGCATCTGTGTTAATTTATCCTTGAAATCTTGGAAAGTTTTCGTTGTTCTTGTCTTTGGTGGTTAAGGAACTCTGTGCTTTCTGATCCTGCCATTTCAGCCAAGAATCAAGTTCCTGGGTTTTCTCTGATCCCTTTATGACGAAGTGCCATGTGAGCTTATGCCTTGGCGCGGCATTCGTCCGTCCGTCGTCAATATTTTACTTTAAACGACTTCTTCTTATTAACCGAAAGGCCTAGGGTGTCGATATTTGGCCAGAAGCAAACTGGGATCAAGGGCTTCACAGTTTGTTAAAATTAATGACCTTCACCCATATTCAAGGTCACAGGGGTCAAATATGTTAAAAACTTTTAAACAACTTCTTCTCAACAACCAAAATGCCAAGGGTACTGATATTTGGCCAATAGCATGCTGAGATAAAGGGCTACGAAATCTGTTTGAATAAATGACCTTCACCCATATTCAAGGTCACAGGTGTCATATGTTTAAATCTTTTAATAGGTTCTTATGAATGAAACACTGATATTTTGCCTGTAGCTGTATTTTAGTCCACTTTTAAGATTACAAGTGTGAGATTAATACCAGGTGAGCGATGCAGGCCCATTGGGCCTCTTGTTAACATATTTGACCCCTGTGACCTTAAAATATATGTCAAGGTCATTCATTTGAACACACTTTGTAGCCCTTCATCCCAGCATGTGACTGGCATTATCCTAGGCCTCTTGGTTTTTCAGAAGAAGTTGTTTAAAGATTTTAACATATTTGACCCCTTTGACCTTGAATATGGGCGAAGGTCATTCACTTGGGAGTCCTTCATCCCAGCATGCTACTATCCAAACATCATCACCCTATGCCTATTGGTTATTCAGAAGAAGTTCTTTAAATGTTTTAAACATATTTGACCCCTGTGGCCTTGAACATTGATGAAGGTCATTTATTTGAACAAACTTGATAGCCCTTTACCCCAGCATGCTACTGGCTAAATATCATCACCCTTGGCCTTTTGCTTATTAAGAAGAAGTCATTCAATGGTGTTAAACATATTTGGCCCCTGTGACCTTGAACATTGATGAAGGTCATTTATTCAAACAGATTTCGTAGCCCTTTATCTCGGCATGCTATTGGCCAAATATCAGCACCCTTGGCATTTTGGTTATTGAGAAGAAGTTGTTTAAAAGTTTTTAACATAATTGACCCCTGTGACCTTGAATATGGGTGAAGGTTATTAATTTTAACAAACTGTGAAGCCCTTGATCCCAGTTTGCTTCTGGCCAAATAATATCACCCTAGGCCTCTTGGTTTTTCAGGAGAAGTGTGCATGCTACTGGCCAAATATAATCACCCTTGGCATTTTGGTTATTCAGAAGAAGTTGTTTAAAGGTTAAGAACATATCTGACCCTGTGACCTCGAAAAAAGATCATTCATTTGAACAAACTTTATAGCCCTTCATCCCAGCATGCTACTAGCCAAACATCATCACCCTAGGCCTATTGGTTATTCAGAAGAAGTTGTTTAAATGTTTTAAACATATTTGACCCCTGTGACCTTGAAAGTGGGTCCAGGTCATTTATTTAAACAAACTTGGCAGCCCTTCATCCCAGCATGTTACTGGCCAAATATTATCACCCTAGGCCTCTTGGTTTTTCAGAAGAAGTCCTTTAAATGTTTTTAACATATTTGACCCCTGTGACCTTGGATATAAGTCAAGGTCATTTATTTGACCAAACTTGGTAGCCCTTCAGCCAAGCATGCTTCTGGCCAACTAATATCACCCTAGGCCTCTGGGTTATTCAGAAGAAGTTGTTTAAAGTTTTTAACATATTTGAACCCTGTGACCTTGGATATAAGTCAAGGTCATTTATTTGAAATCACTTGGAAGCCCTTCATCCAAGCATGCTTCTGGCCACATAATATCACCCTAGGCCTCTGGGTTATTCAGAAGAAGTTGTTTAAATGTTTTAAACATATTTGACCCCTGTGATCTTGAACATTGATGAAGGTCATTTATTTGACCAAACTTGGTAGCCCTTCATCCAAGCATGCTTCTGGCCAAATAATATCACCCTAGGCCTCTTGGTTTTTCAGGAGAAGTGTGCATGCTACTGGCCAAATATCATCATCCTAGGCCTTTTGGTTACTGAAAAGAAGTTGTTTAAAGTAAAAAGTTGACGCCGGACAGATGGACAACGGACGGACGCCGCACCATGGCATAAGCTCACTTGCCCTTCGACCAGGTGACCTAAAAATAACAGGTTCTTTTGAATGAATTTTAATCATAAATACTGATATTTTGCCTGTAGCTTTATTTTAGATCACTTTTAAGGTTACAAGTGTGAGATTTATATCAGGTGAGCGATGAAGGCCCATTGGGCCTCTTGTTTATTTAAAGGACCATGCAGAGAGGGACATTGTATTAGCCTATCAAGCAGGGTTAAGAAGACATCTTGAAGTCAAACTCTAAGGAGCTGTAAGATCTGTAAAGCCGATGTATGAATGTATGTTTTTTATGAAGTTAGTATTAATGAGATTAGGGTCACGTCCTCGACTCTTCACTTCAGGAGGTTATGTAACTTTACTAGAGGTTTATTCTTTGGTTCTATACTTTCATATTAAAGATCACTAGATGCACTGCAAAATGTGAAATGCTTATGGGAAATAAACGTTTGACGTTTGGTTCTAGTGCCATAATAGAACAGAGACTTGAACGATGCAAGACATTCCACATCTTTATGGATTCCCTACTTCCTCCACTTTTCTCTTCATTTTATTCATCCTCAGATTCGCAGTAGCTTTCATTTAGAGGATATGTATTAATTTTGTGTGATAAGAACAAGCAGGATGGGCTGCTCTTGGGAGATTTAAAAAATTCAAATCGTGTTATATTTGGATACATATAATGGTCGATGTCAATATCATCTTAAAGCCATGGTGTCATCATCCAGCATCTTAGATGCAGTCATCTTTTTCCATTTCCCTTCGTTCAAATTTTGGCACAGCAATCCCATAAGGACTACAGTATAACCTATCTAAATCAACCTCTTCCTATACCAGCTTTGATATATTGTCCTGGTCAACCCTCGGTCTACCCTGGAAACCACTTGTTTCACAACCAATATAAATACTTATTTAAATACCTTATTTATTCCAAACACTTCTGGACATAAAATGTGTGATCTGTTGACTTTGTAATTGGTCACCATAGACTTCAACAGTATTGTCCTGGCTGTAACTTTTTTATACAATTAATGATCTTCTATAATACGTCTAAGGTCAGATATGTGCAAAATTCTGTCTGTGCTGTAGATTTTAATCCAAGATATCTTGATCAAACTTTTAAGTATATCTTCATCCCCGATAGGTATTGGGACTGTGCAATGTATTTAGGTCAAAGAGATCTTCATCTCCAGGTCAAAATCTGTCAGTAATCTTTTAACCATTGAAGAGATCTTGATAAAACTTGAAATATGTAAACATTATCACCCACAAAGGGTGTGCAGTGACCTGCACTCAACAGTGCACTCAAGTCAATTTGACCTTACCTCCAGGTGAAATAAACCCAAATCTTTATGGCTAAGAAAAAGAGATAAGTTGTTCTTTACAAAATCATGTTTCTAGTTGATTATAACTCATTGCAGATAAACATTTAACTCAAATGCTTCCCTTCTATCTTCATTTATGTCGGTGATTTTATACTTCATTTTCAAAATTAAAATCTAAAAACATTTTAATCTGATAATACCAATATCATTCCCTTTTGCCATTTTAAATTTAAACAATGGTAGAGAAGAATTGTAAGTACAGGAGAAGGCATGGTCAGTGTACTGTTGTATAACACTTATACTGTCATCAGAATCTGTAATCAAAACTTAACAAAATATAACACAACAACAAAAAATTCAATTTTGTAAAGATTTTTTCTTTTTACTCATTTGACTGTTAATTACAACAATATTACATGAAGATCGCTATACTATGCAAGTTTATATATAATATATATATATAATGATTATGTATATATTAGGGTTTTGTAGACGTGGTAACAACAGCTGATATAAATTAGAGTCCGCCCCATAACACTGTTCCCTTCAAGCTGATGAACGTGCATCAACATAGACATGATGGTGAAATCAGCAAGCTTTTCTTGAGCTCACATTTTCAGTTTATTTGACCTCTGAACAGAAGGACTATTCAACCTCTACACCTTGTATAAAAATACTATATGAATTCATCACTGTATTATGTGTAATACTAATCAAGTGCTAAGGGCAATTATTGAGACGTGGGGTATATCTAACTCGAAGCAAATTAATTTCTCTATTTACATTAATTTATTATAAACTTCTGATTGTGCCCAAAATATTTATTCACTTGTCAAGTTTTAAACACTTTTATTTGCTTATGTCATGCAATACAGACATAAACAGTTTTCAGTGACGTTACAGATATTTTATTTATCTAGTCAAATATTCCTTCCCTCAAGAGTTTTATCACAAACATCTACATAAAGGCTGGCCAGCTATGGCAAACGCAAAAAAATAATTAAAAAAATTGCTGTATTTTGTAAATCATATGTTTGAGAAATAATCCTCTTGCAAAAAAAAATGTGTTCTATTGCTTCCTGGAAGGTGTATCATGAAAATTTCCCTTAAAAATATAATTTCAAGTAAGATTGTTTCTTTGGGTTATCTGCTGGACCTTGGAAAACTTTACAGTGCTTAGGCTAATATAGCATGGTTTTAAGTACAAATTGGATACTTGTACATCCCTGTCAACTCTATAGTACACATAACAAGTATACATAACTGTAAGGTACACATGACAAGTATACACAACTGTATGGTAAACATGACAAGTATACACAAATGTATGGTACACACATGACAAGTATACACAACTGTATGGTACAGATGACAAGTATACATAACTGTATGGTACACATGATAAGTATACACAACTGTATGGTACACATGACAAGGATACACAACTGTATGGTATACATGACAAGTATACATAACTGTATGGTACACATGATAAGTATACACAACTGTATGGTACACATGACAAGGATACACAACTGTATGGTATACATGACAAGTATACATAACTGTATGGTACACATGATAAGTATACACAACTGTATGGTACACATGACAAGTATAAATAACTGTATGGTACACATGACAAGTATACACAACTATATGGTATACATGACAAGTATACATAACTGTAAGGTACACATGACAAGTATACACAACTGTAAGGTACACATGACAAGTATAAATAACTGTATGGTACACATGACAAGTATACACAACTATATGGTACACATGACAAGTATACACAACTGTATCGTACACATGACAAGTATACACAACTGTATGGTATACATGACAAGTATACATAACTTTATGGTACACATGACAAGTATACACAACTGTATGGAACACATGACAAGTATACATAACTGTATGGTACACATGACAAGTACACACAACTGTATGGAACACATGACAAGTATACATAACTGTATGGTACACATGACAAGTACACACAACTGTATGGAACACATGACAAGTATACATAACTGTATGGTACACATGATAAGTATACACAACTGTATGGTACACATGACAAGCATAAATAACTGTATGGTACACATGACAAGTATACACAAATGTATGGTACACACATGACAAGTATACACAACTGTATGGTACAGATGACAAGTATACATAACTGTATGGTACACATGATAAGTATACACAACTGTATGGTACACATGACAAGTATAATAACTGTATGGTACACATGACAAGTATACACAACTGTAAGGTACACATGACAAGTATACACAACTGTAAGGTACACATGACAAGTATACACAACTGTAAGGTACACATGACAAGTATCAATACCTGCCTGGTACACATGACAAGTATACACAACTGTATGGTAAACATGACAAGTATACACAACTGTATGGTACACATAACAAGAATACATAACTGAAAGGTACACATGACAAGTATACACAACTGTAAGGTACACATGACAAGTATCAATACCTGCCTGGTACACATGACAAGTATACACAACTGTATGGTACACATAACAAGTATACATAACTGTAAGGTACACATGACAAGTATACACAACTGTATGGTAAACATGACAAGTATACACAACTGTATGGTACACATGACAAGCATAAATAACTGTATGGTACACATGACAAGTATACACAACTATATGGTATACATTAGAAGTATACATAACTGTAAGGTACACATGACAAGTATACACAACTGTATGGTATACATGACAAGTATACATAACTTTATGGTACACATGACAAGTATACACAACTGTATCGTACACATGACAAGTATACACAACTGTATGGTATACATGACAAGTATACATAACTGTATGGTACACATGACAAGTATACATAACTGTATGGTACACATGACAAGTTTCCACCTATGTTTACAGTATATAAAGTTCACTATGCTGTCTATCGAAGACAGGTTTATAGACAGTAGTTTGTCAATACTGTGCTACATACAGATCAAACTGTCAGGCCAATAATTGTACAAATCACGTCATACTTGTAAAACAAAAAGATATTGTTTGAACAAATTACGCCATCTTTTTTATCTCTTGGAACAGATCATCCAGTACAATTTGTATACTGTGCAGGAAGATTAATGTTTTTTTTACACAGGTATCAAAAGAATGTTCTTGTCACCTTAAAACCATGACTATGTTTGCCATGAAGGAACAGATAAGTTAAAACAAATGTTCATGTACAAAATGTAAGTTGGCAAGGGTGAAAAATAAATAATATCAAATTACGCTCTCAAAATTTTCTTTTAATGAGAACAGTCGTCAGAAAAAAATCAAATAATGAAATAACACAAAAATTCTAATTTGTACGTAGGTTTGTTTCCCTAAATCTACAAATTCCTGTTCTCTGTGTAATCACAAATATATACTAGTAATAATGTATATCAACAATACAATAAAATCTATTTACAGCCCTTCTGGGTTATCTCCCCTGCCATGCCAGAAGGAAAAGGCTAAAATGAACCATGTTGTCATGGAGATTATGCCATCATTTCTTTTGATTTATAATAAAAAATATGCATACTAAAAGACACTTTTAAAGCTTATATAGCAGCAAACTTAAACACGGTAAAATATGTCACTCAATGGTTTGGAAAGTGCAACATTTTCTGTTAAAATTTCAAGACTTTCAGAAATAATTTTTGTCTAAATTCATGTTTGTTACGGACATAAGAATGGGTCCATTGGAATGTAAGATGAGCACTGAATGCTCATTGTAAAATCAGTTCTTGTAAACAACACCAAATTGTTTTGAATGATAGTCCAGGATAATTAATGTAATGAAACCTAAATGTTGAGACCATGTATGTGCGTCACACTCTTGGCTCTGATGATGCAACCTGTTAGTAACGATTGTGAGGCAGGACTACTCTTTACAATGTCTGTTTCTGTCTGTACAGAAGAAACACCTGGACCCAAACCTTAAGTCATATGGTCTAATAAAAAAAGGTTGTCCTCAAACAATAGCATAAAATGATAATGTATTTCCTTAAGTGGATTAAATTAAACTCAAACATTTATATTAAATGTTTTGTTTTCTCTTGTGTGTCAAAATAAAATATTCAATAAAAGTTCGGATAAAACAGCGAGAGAAGAGAAAGATGTAAGGACTGTACCGAGAAATGTGCAGTAGAAGGCACATGGTTAGTAGATACATTTCCACCCTGATACTGAACTTGTGTTATAATTTGAAGCTCATCTGAGAAATTAAAGTTCCTTTGATTAAGGCATAGAATCATGATGTGTGTTTAGGGGTTTTTGTACAGTGATCTCTGTTCTTAACAATAAAGGATACATTTATGGACGAAACAATTTCTTCACAAGATGGTTTCATATATAAATAACATTTAATATACAACTGTCAAAATTTGTACACTTTACAATATTACTACAACAAGCTAAATCAACTTGATAATAAAATAAATCTGTACTACTATGACATGGACAGAATGTCAGACCAGACTAAGGGGATAGGCGAGACAGGGCTGCAAGCACTCGCCAGGGGTGGGGGGATACAATTATCTACTATCAAATACTTGCTAGATAGACTACTGACTTCATTTATATCAATGAAATGAAAAATAAATTATAAAATGGAGTGCCCCTTAGTCTGGTATGAGAAACGTCCCTGTTTTCTACTCAACTCCAAGCAAAATGAAACGATTAAGCAGTGAAGTAAAATGATAAAACAATTGCAAGGTACAAACGATTGCCACGTTGAGATTGCTGGTTTTCAATATAACAAATTGTTGAAGTCAAAAAATTAGCAATTAACCTCCCATATTAAAAAAAAAAGCAATTAAAATCATTTCATAAAACTTAAACTTAGGTCATTAAAGGGAGCAAATTTAATTTGTCATTTGTCTAAAATAAATCCTTTCACTTGTTAGAAAATACTTATTAAGGAGTATCCAGATCAGAAAAAACTATTCTTAGACACCAAACAAAGGGAGATAATTCCTCAGTAAAATCTATTGAAGAGGCTGAACATTGCAACATCTCGGCTTTTATGAAAGCAAGAGAAGAATTTTAACAGTTTGTGATATTGCCCTAGCTACTGTGCCAACAAGACAAATTCCTATGATCCTTGCAGACTGCTATGTTGTGTCGTTCTTTGGTATAAGTTCACAGTTTCTATGTGACAGAGTATACAGTTACCTGTAAAGATGGATCGATAGATGTGTGTATGCAAGAAAACTTGCTAATCCACATTACAACAGTCAGAAAAACATGCTTTGGAAACTGAATATTTCAATTTTTCTTTATGGTTCAATTTTCGAAATACAGGATTTCTGTAAGCTGTTCCAAAACCTAGTTTACTTTTGACAAGGTTTCACATTACATCATACCATGTCCATGAAGCACAACCGAACGTGTACATACTCAACTCGAAAATGGTCCTTTGTTATTCACAAAATTTAAAGGCAAACCTAGGCCAATTATTCCAAAAGGATCTGGATGTCTGCATTTTTTAATGACAAAAGTCAAAGTGTATTTCCAAACCCAGCACTTATTGTCAGAGGCTGTGGTGTGAAAGAAAATAATACAAAAACCATACAGAACATTTTTGATTAGGTTAAAAGGATTGAATGTAAATAAAAAAGACTTCGATAAAAATTAAGGCAACAGTGGGCCTGGGTACATACAATGTTGGGTGATTATAACATGGTGAATAGATCTGTCCCCTCAGTGATCTGTATTGCTTCATAGGCAGATTATTTAGGTGAATCTTGCACTCGTTTGCAGTTTGCTTAAAAAAATTCTACTGATAAATATTACGAAAACAAATAGTATATAAACCAGTTCATATATCTAACTGTACACTGTGTTGAATGTTGCTGCCTCTAGAAAGATTTCATTTAAAAAACACCAAAGTCATGATCTGAAGATAATAGAGATGTATGTTTTATATATGTAAAATGAAAGTGATCATTTTAAGAAAAACAAATTGCACCCTCTCTCTTATTCAAATAAATCAAAATGAAGAAAAAAAAGATAAAATTAAGTACACAATGTGCATTTGGCCCTTGGAATATATTACACAATGTACACACACACAGGGAGGTTGGGTTTTCTTAAATATATAATTATCTTAATCATTTTCATATTTCACTGAATATTTCCAAGACCATTTGCTGCCCAGTATGAACATGGATGTTCATAATTAGTTCAATAATGCACATTATACCATTAATAAATACACTACAGGTCAGATATCACCAGTTAAAACTGTTTTGTCTTCCTTGGTTTTGGCAAGTATCCTATGACCTTTACAACTGAGCCCATTATGACACTGGTCAACAGGTCCTGCCAGTCCAGTGGAGGTGGACAGTATCTATCTATAGCACGTCTGTCTCTCCACTGGTCACTCAGATCTAAGTGTCACTAACCACTCCTTTACTTGAAGGACACCTGAAGGTCAGTGCGTGTTGTCTGGAGGTGGCTGCGAGGCCCCCAGGACGACCGCGTCCAGTTCTGGGCACAGGATTCCATTTGTAGTTAAAACAGATTGACAAGTCAGGAGCCTCTCAACCTCCATCTTGTCCAAAAGGGAAGTCACTGTACACCAACGCTGCCACAGATTCTCCTTCCTTGTTGTCCAAATTGTGCCAAGTCTAATCACAACAAGGCAACGGTACCACTTGTGTGCCAAGTCTAATCACAACAAGGCAACGGTACCACTTGTAACGTATATATGGACAGTGGTACGAGTCCACAATAAATAACTCTAGTGTTTGGTCACATAGAAATATTATCACTATAAAAATGAAACTATCATGGTCATTTTTCCATGCATATATATCACACACACTGGCCTTCAAAATGATGAAGACAATGATTTTTTCTTTTCTTAAAACAACGATGAGATGATCAGTAAATCCTTGATGTGATGATGAATGAAGTGTAAAAATAATTCCTGGTCACATGATAAAATGAAGTGATTTTTCTGTCCGAAAGTCAGTATCTTTCTTTCACTTCTTGTATTGTAAAGTATATGTTAATATAGTTTTTTCTCTCTCTTGTATGTATTTTTTTCAACAGATGTAACAACAATATTGCATTAAATGTTTTGCACAGTGATTCTGCACTGAAGCTTGCAGTTGTAATGGCAACCTACAGATCAATCAAACAGTGCCAAAAGATCGTCTGTGGCGTTAGTGGTGCTATTGCTTTGATTGTTTCTATTTCCACTGTTGGGTGCCGGCGAACTTGAATTGTCAGGAGGTCCGAGATATGATAATAATTCAATGGGGTCTCCCAAGTTATCTAGTTGCAACTGCAAAATAGAAATGAAAATTTCATTTAATGTTTTATGATAATATAAAAATATACCAGTAACACATAAAGAGAACTCATAGGGATAAATGGGTGATACAAATATGATATTGTGACAACATCTCAAATGAGAATGAAAACAGATATTTTCAGCTAAATAACTATTTTACAATAAATAAAATACTCTTAATATACTCACATCAAGAGTTGGGTCACCATCACTTTCTAAAATAGGAGCTGGGTCAAAATTAAAGTCTCCCGCACTCGTGTCGCCATTTATGGACGTTTTGGTTAAAATATTATTTGGTTGTGGCGGATGGGACAGAGGGTGCGCTCCGCCACTATGATTAAGAGTCTGTGGTGTTGTAGGTGTGCCTGGCCCCTCCCCGTGTAGCCGGTGGTCCCCACTCGGACTCATCACAGGCACAGGTGATGGATAATTGCCTGAGTTGTGTATTTGTGGTTTGATATCCACAGAATGCAAATCGTTTGAGTTTGTATTGTTCATAACACTAGAATCTCCCGTATGGTGCCCCGTAGGCATGTGTGACAGGGGCCCCGAGTGGGGGTAATCTGTTGGTCCTCCCTGGTGTGGATAGTTGCCTGGTTGTGGCGGTCCTCCTGGCATCACTTCACTGCCCGACATCGTAGGATATACCGGCCCTGGGGTTAGAAGCACATCAGATTAATAAGTATGTCATAGACACATGCTACACATTGAATTCATCTCGTTTATTTTCCTGTTCACAAGATGTCATCGCATTTACATAATTACATTGACTTATATCTGCAATAATTATGTATCAAGAGGCTTACTTTTGTTTCTCTTCACACAGGTAAAACAGCATATTATACTTCATTATTGTTACAGTTTGAATGGTTTGTTTATATATTTATCACCATGGCCAGGAGACCAAACAACTCCATGCAGGGATATTGAAGAAACTACATTGTCAACACTAATTCTGTAGTAATGACAAAGTGCTAAGGTACCTTGTGATGAAGGCCTCATTTGGAACGGCGAGGACTGTCGTCCCCCAGAGTCCCATGAGGTCATAGTTGGTAACTGCATACTTGTTGGAGACATGGCCTTTGTCCACCGTGCGTTCGCACATGCATCACCTGCTGTAAAACAATCATTATCAAATAAAATGTTAATTGGAGAGATTAATTTGTGATGGGAGATCTGTTTAGTAATGGACCTACATGGGTGTAGATTGTGGCTTGGATGCAGAATAAGTACAGTATTGGGAAGGTGTAACCTGGGGTGGGTAGTGTTTGTGTGAGAAAGGGGGGATAACCTGATACAGTAAGATGTAATGTAGTATAGAGCTGGAGTAATGATTGGATAGTAAATAGTACAGTAACAAAATTCTGTTCGATAAAATCGCAATTTAAGAAAATCCTTTTTATCAATTTTTGTTATGTTTTAATTTATACTTGGAATGTTGTAAAAAAAAAAGATGTATTTACACAAGGAATATTGTGTTCAGAAAGATATATATTATTTAAGACTTACTTCCACCATCCTCTTCCTTGATAATTTTGTGTGGAACAGGTTTCCAGGCTGCCATTGGATCTATTGTCACTTCTTCAAACTCTGTACTCGACAGGTTGGTTAAAATACCCCAAATATACTGGTCTATTTCTAACCCTTCTAATAATGCTGTTTTACTGCAAACAAACACAACATTTTCATCAGTAAATTATAATCGTATCAGCAGGTTATTGTCAGCAGACTGGGCTATGTCCTCAGATTCTCGTACTAGCTTCAGTGTTTCAATCATAAGCACACTGTTAATTATTCATGACTATAATTTAACCTGAATACAGAATCCCATGACAACAGCTATTTCATAATCAGATTGATAAACAGGTTCTATCGGAAAATGTGATCTGCTGAATATGACTGCTTGCTGTTATAAGCTTCCCACCAGTTGTGTAATTAATGTTCCACATGTTAGGCAAACCTGTATTGAATAGTTTATAGGTTTGTGAATAGAAACATAAAATGTGAGCCACATGATGCTTTTACTTACTTGCAAACAGGACATCGCCAGGATCCTCTTTCACAATTCAATTGTAAATAGGATTCCAAATCAAAGCACTGAAACAACGGACAGAACAAGCGTTAGTAGACAGAGCACCACTCTCACAATACGGGGAACAATAATTCGTACAGTCAATAACAAATTACAATACTACAAATCATTACAACAATGTACTTAAATCATCAGTCTGTGTGCCACACCAAGAAACACAATTATGAAACAAAGAACCTGAGAAGTGAACATCCTGAAATCTGCTGTCCTAAGTGCTTACCTGTATGTGTTTACACTCATGTCCACGTGCAGGTAAGGTGATTCTTCGGAAGGTGATGGGACATTTTAATGACACTTTGATTGCCGTTTGCTCCACCCCGTCTTCTCCATTCAGTGAGCCACCACCTGATGCCACGTTACTGAAGTTTCTCTTGACTAGAAGATAGAGTCATATTCATTTATAAGATTGTGATTAACATTATTTGTAAAATTTCAAAGAATATTTTCAGGGCATTTTCCTACCTTTTTAATCTTTTCTTGCAATTTAAGAAAATGAAACACAAAATTTCAACAAACTGGACAGACGGCTTTCTAGATTTTATAATCAAGGAACTTGACAGAAGGATACCTACTTTTTGTGATACAATGTTCTGCAGGAAGCAGTCGTTTTCTCAATAGTCCCTGTAACACTGATCGCACACTCGGCCGGTGGACCAGCTGTAGCACAAATAGGTGGGACTGCAACACAAAAACGCAAACATTAACTTTCCACTGATAACCTGGATATAATGTAATCAAATTCTACTACCTGTATCAGGTCTAATCAATTCTACTACCTGTAACAGGTCTAATCAATTCTACTACCTGTATCAGGTCTAATCAATTCTACTACCTGTATCGGGTCTAATCAGTTCTACTACCTGTATCGGGTCTAATCAATTGTACTACCTGTATCAGGTCTAATCAATTCTACTACCTGTATCAGGTCTAATCAATTCTACTACCTGTATCAGTCTAATCAATTCTACTACCAGAAAGTGTATCAGGTCTAATCAATTCTACTACCTGTATCAGGTCTAATCAATTCTACCAAGACAGTGATGTTCATAGATTAATGGCAATGTATAACAGGATAAAACTGGACAAAAACATTTAATACATGGCTTTTTTTTAGCAAACTATTTCAGGAGTCATGTGTAACATGCCTTGGATAAATAATCTTTATTGAGTAACGGACCATCCGTGCATAAGATTATCGTATTGCTTTCATATACATCCAAGCCAAAAGAACAGGACCTTTTGCTGAGAATGTGCAAAACTTAGCATCAAAGACATCATATGACAAATCTGTTTGCATAGGAAAAAGAACAGCTTAATTTAAGTAATTTAATTATCTAGGTCTCATTTCTTAATATGCACTAAACTAGACACGAAAGCTCAGGGATTGACATTTCCGTATGGTAGAATATATTGGTGAAATTTATAACTTGGGATTCAAAATGTTGAGGGTTATTGAGGAACTTACACAACAGCAGGCTGTGACAGTGATCTGTATGGTGTTGCGACCCGGCGCACACACACCCTTGAGGTAAAGTGGTTTGTGAGAGGTTTTGTTTTCTCCTCGTTCTATGTTGAGAGGATTGGCATTAACACTGACTGTCACAGATGCAGGCCAGTTTGTGTTCATCTGTCGATCTTCATGGTGGAAACATTTTAACTGAAGTTCTAGGTCCGATCTGCCAAAACACAAAGATGTAACATGACTACCAACATAACATCAACTGGTGACCATAATACATTAACCCAGAATATTATTTTAAGTATGTAGCTGTTATTTTATCATACAAGAGTTACCTCCCTTCTCACTATCATAAACCAGATGTTTCACAAATCTGAGACATAAGACAAGGTTACCCTGACTCTTACAGAAAGAAGTCTTATCTCCACATGAGGGTCTAGAACACTGGATCTCACAGACAGAAAATATTGACTACTTACCTCCACATGAGGGTCTGGAATACCGATTCCCTCAAATGGAAGACATGGTTGCTGACTGCCAGGTTATGTTCCAGTCGGAACGGAGGTAATACCACCCCATCTCGAACGGGAAACGTCAGACGCAACTCATCCAGATCTGAAATATCACACAGTTTAATTATGTTCTGTTCTCAATGTGTAAATCATACTATACCTCAGGACCATATGATTAGGTGGAGTATGTCCTTATTTCACAAAACACAATGGTGTATTCCGGTGATGATAACTTTTACACATTTAAATGATTCTGTAACTTGACGAATAACAGGATTACAATACCATGGAGTATGCAGCAAGGTGTGTGGCTTACCTTTCTTTATACCCATGGGGCCTGGGTATGGGGATTGTACAGCCCCCGGGGTGATGGGGGGTGTTGGGTTTCCTGGTAAGGGTGAGTGTGGGTAGCTCATATTGGAGGACTGAAATACAAGGCACATAGGTCAGTTATATGGGAGTTCAAAGTAAAGAGGGCGTGTTAGGCTCAATCCTACCTCACAGCACTCATACAGACGTCATATTCTCACTTGGTAGATCAAATTATCAGTACAAGATGAAAAAAAGATAAATTATCAATTTAATAAGAAAAGAAATTTATTGAAATTTAATAGACATTTTTTCTGTTTCATTATTCCCAAAAATGACATTCTACTGTCCTGAATCTAGACTAGGTTAACTTACAAAATGTAGGTAAGAAAAGGTCAAGGTTGTGTAAGATAACGATTTTGTGATGACATGGGATTTTGACCACATGTGGATAACCAGGGTTTACTTAACAACACAGACCAACAAACTCACCTGCAGGTTTTGCTGGGGACCCTGACTGCTGTACTGGTTGAAGGGCTGACCTTGTGGGGCCATCTGCCGAACCTGAGGGGGGAACTGGTTTGGGCCATATTGGTTGTGGCCATTGACGTAGTGAGGGGGTGCGTTGGGGCGCATGCCAGGCTGTGGGCCATAGGTGGGGGAGGGTAGGGGCTGCTGTGCTGGGTACTGGGGCTTCTGGGGATACTGTTGCTGGACCCCGTAAGGCTGTGGCCCGCCATACTGCTGAAGACATATATAACGATAACAAATGATAACTTATTATTAATAAATAAAGATGTTAAATAATAAAACTACGAAATATATGTGCTTGACAGTATAACTTACAAGTAAACACATTATCTATGTTGTAAAGAGATACTTTAAGATTATTATCAAGGTTGTACGAGCTAACAGCTGTTAAGATACCTGGAGACAGAGGAGACCCATATCCTGATCATATATGGATGACTTGGCGAGAAAGAAATTATTTAACTACAATTATAATATCCAATTGAATACAAAGACCCCACCTGTCATTAATTATTCACACTCTCATAATTTGATATGCATGGAGATCGAGCTGTATGTGTAACCTTACCTGTACACCGTTAGGGAACTGCTGACGTTTCTGAGACATCATCTGTGAGGGGTTGGGGTAGGGGGCAGATGCTCTCCTACTCCCAACATTGTATTTGTGGACCATGGGACCCCCAGGGCCAGGGCCAGGGCCAGGACCTGGGCCTGGACCCTGCACCATTGGCCCTGTTGGGCGCTGAGGCATGCCCGGGTACTGATTATTGAATGACTGCTGGCCTGGCATCTGCTGTGAATGACAAAAAATACATTTTATTAATTCAATTCCAATGTCTATTTTATTATAGTATCACAGAACCTGTAAATGTAATGTAGAAAATCATTGAACTGATAGCTTCCTAATGAAATGGGAAGGATGTAGTTAATCAAAACACTGATTGAGTTTTTAATAGTGTTCAACAGATAATTTCTTGCTGTTTTTAATGACTATAGAATACCATGAACTCCATCGTTAGTAATTTTATTTCAATATCTGAAATGTCATCAGAGCGATTAAAGTATCGCAGATAAAAGTCGCAGGATTGGTCGGTAATGAAGGCATAGCGGTAAACTATCGGCAGTACAAAAGAACGGCCGATAGACAGGATGACCCAATTAGTGGCATTCCCTGCCACCCTCCATCACCTCCGTTCTGATTTCTATTGACTACAGCATTTTGTAGCACACATTTTGTTACAGGAGATCAACAGACTCACTTTATCACTTGTCTGTATCTATTACCATGAAATATTCATACAGCTGAGATAATGGTCATCGATCACTGATCACCACATCCAGGTAAAACTGACGATGTTGATTATACAGGTGTATCTGAGACACGCCTCCACATTTTATACTTAATAGCGATTGTTAAGACAACCATTCTGATTGGATCAATTACGTAAAGATATGGCTTATTCATGCAATGAACGCATCCAAAATTTAATTTCTTTGATGAAGCTTTTTATTTTTTCAAATTCATTCCTATAAAAGGCTAGAGGTATTACAGCAATGTTAAAACACTTTTATTTCACTAAAACCAGTAACATATGTCATGTATAAAGCATGTATGAAGTGAAGTTATTAAAAGTTGAGCGAGTCAATGTCAGTTTTAGACCCTTCTCCACCCAAGCTTACCTGCATATTTGGTGCATATTGACCATTCATGTTCATTTGCATGTTGATATTGTGTTGATTGTGCTGCTCCTGCATTACCATGCTGGCAGTGGCCGTTGCTGTTGCTGTTGCTGTGGCAGCCGCAGCCACCAGTGCTGCTGACAGAGCGGCATTGCCAGCCTGGCCCCCTGGGTAATCATTTGGACCATTTGGTGTGTTTGTGCCCGGCGTATTTGGGGTTGGAGGGTACCCACTGTACAGAAACAAGTATGTAACAGTTAATATCACATGACCTTCAGACAGTGATTGACCTGGGTCAAGGTTATTATATCATAAAACATGTATTATCTTTCCACAAATATAACCTTTTAACCAGTAATCATAGGTCTACTTTCAGTCCAGTGATAGCCAATTTAAATGAAAAAGAAGAACAAATGTTGACAGGTAATTGGTAAGAATTGAGATTCATAATACAGAGTAACTGGTAGAGTATAAATGTATAAAAGAAGTAAAAGACACAGCTAGTACATGGTAGTGCTTTGGTCCATCCACGGTTGGAGGGATGGTCAGATAACTGAATATTGATTAGGATGTTAAAATAAGAAATATTTTGCACATAAAAAATGATGACATTCACAATACTTTAACACATAAATCTGTGCTGAACCATGCATCATTAAAATTAAAAGTAAAGCAATTCAGTTTAAGGTGTTGTATATTGGCTCTATATAGGTATATATTAATACTGATTAACAGTGTGTGTACAAAGTACCAAGATACCTATCTACAACCAAGTCCAGAAATCAGTTACTCGAACACACAGGACATCTCTTAATTATTTAACAACAATAAACGTTTTCTGTCAGGAATGTAGACAGTCCTTTCAAACAGGGGTAAATATCTATTGGCAAGGATAATTGGTGTGTTAAAATACACAGCATTTAACAATAAAACCCATCTATCCAACACAAGGGCATTGGCAATGTCACAAATAGCATCAGGAAATAGGCACCAATCCTGGTTCTGTAATAGGCACCAATCCTGGTTCTGTAATTAGTCAAACTACAGAAAATCTATGACCAATGAACGAAATAGTCAAAGTGCATATAAACCTATATTTGGCTTGCTGCTATTATTATTGGAGTCGGTCACGACATGCTTTATCTAACATATCTCAATAAATGCTGACGAACAGGATATGTACCCCTCTCATAAATACATTCACAAAGCAACACAAGTGTCAAAGATTGCATCTGCGACTTAATCAGTAAAACAAATACTGCTGATGAACTTAAATATACTTATTTTAACATGTGAGGGGAGAAAAGTCAGTGTGAGGGGAGAAAAGTCAGTGTGAAGGGAGAAAAGTCAGTGTAAAAGAAATCAATGTGAGGGGAGAAAAGTCAGAGGTCTTTGGCAGCAGCCAGTGAAGACACGATAGCTATCTATGCAATACCCTTCAACTCTTAGTGTTAAACGGTAAACAAATTAATGTCTTGTTATGTCTGTATTGAGGCCACAGAAGGAGTGGCCCAAGTCAAGAGGGAACATGTCCAACAACAAACATCAACCACAACAACAAAATATCACACTAGCAAACCTGAGAAGAGAGCAGCAATTCTGGATGTAGCAAACTTAATATCAGACCATTAGACGGAAGGGCAGCCAGCCTTAACTAGGACCAGCAATCGTTATACTCGAAAAGCAGGAAATGGTGATGGACTTTGATATTAGCTATGGTTACTATCATTGTTTAGGGACTGTAAACATGGAAATCCTTGCTTGTGGACAAAATTGTCTTAAGACTCTAAAACTGATCACAGTGTGGAAATGTATGAGCTGGCAATGGTTCTGAAACATGTGAGTTTATTTGAATATGCATATTTTTGGGCTTATTAACTCAACGTGAAAAACAAACTCATTTCCGTACCACAAAAATGTCCATCTTTACGGTGTTAGGATGGACACAAGTATTGATAGTAAGTCAAGGAATGGTTGCTGTATTGGTGAATCTAGGATGGACCTGTTATGATAGTGAGGGTGAATCACCTGAAGGTGATCTCATCCATGTAACTGGAAGCAACAATAGTGGTAATACCATAGCCTGATTTTGAAGGTTTACACCTTACCACCATCAGTTGGTCACAGATCCAGATCGGCACTTTACCGGTCACTTATAATATAATCATCAACAAAGTTGTTAATGATATAAAATCTTAATTCAGATTCGTTCTGCAAAAGAAAGCATCAGTACCTGGGCCTTTGGTAACCTCCAGAGTCTCGGCGGAAGGGGATATTCTGTGGATTGCTGTAGTTTCCCTTCTGCATCTGCGTATTGAATCCCTGAGGTTGCTGTGTGTAGTTAGTAGTAGACATGGTGGTGTTGGTGTAGCCAGGCGTGTTGTGTTGAAAAGGACCGCTCTGGGTTGACTGTGTGGTCCCCCACACCGTTGTCACAACCGACAATGCTTGACCGGGCTGACCCTGATTACCTAACCACTGACCATTGGGATCACTGCAAAAACACAAACAGAAATGCACATTATTAATTAGCTTGTTATCACCCCTGTTACCTGTATTGTAACAGGGATCATTTTACATAGTCTATATAAAAGGCAATACAAATGATACAAATTCTACCACATACACCAACTTGTTTGAGGTAATTAACAGTGACCTTGACCCCAGCGTCTGAAATACAACCTTGTTGGAGGTATAACAGTTGTTTACTTATATCAAAACACTTGTATACAAGATTTTTAACATGGAGCTTTGACAAAAGATTTTCAGCACCCTGAAATGTGAACTTATTAGCAGTAGTATCATACTTATTTACACTTGTTTGAAGTTTCATGAAGATCCATTGGGAAGTATAGTATATAGAAATGACATTGGTTGGACAGATGTGTATATTATAGACCCCCTCAGTATTCACTAGTTGTACCTGGGTTGTAAATAGGAAAATAACTTAAGTACCCGGTTTTATTATGATATATCAGGTACTGTTCACATATTGTAACAGAGGTCCAAGGCATGACACCTTGGGTAAACATGCTGTACAGTTTACATAGTAGTATTTTTACTACAAACAAACACGTAGGTAATGGCAGTGTTAAGTATCCCCTGATATTACTGTAACACAACACATCAGCAGTTCAAACTCTTCTCCTTTTTATCTATTTCACATATTGTCAACAAGCCACTTTGATCTCTCTAAGTTTATCATAAATGTAACGTTATTTTAAAAACAACTACATAAATGATTTAATGAGGTAAACCATTTCCCTATTTCAGTGTACATACTGACAAGATTTACAGAAATACAGGTCATCTGTATACTATAAAATAATGATGTCATCCTTAGAAATTACCCGATATTGTAAACCTGTCAGGTAAAAATGACCTGATTAATAAACCTCCTGTCATCCATTATCAGGGGCTTTATTCAGTCGGTTTCCCAATTAACACCTCACCTGTCTACAACCTTGTCACCTATATAGCTCATAAATATTCATCAACACCAGCCATCATTTCACGGTTCAAGTATGATAAATTCCATATTTTTAAAAAATCAGTTAGAAAGAAAATTGTAAGTCATAGTAAATTTTAATGAAATGTTGTTCATTCATCATACAGCAAACTAAGCTCAGGTATATGCAGCAGTATATATGATACACAACAAGCTGCAGTGACAGCTGTTCAACAACAGAACAATGAGACCTACTGATTAGATCTCCTAGCTTATAGACCCACATAACAGCACTGCAAATCACAAATAGTCCACTCCTTTGTGAACAAATCGTAAAACAAGTGAGTTATTCTGACATAATACCAGATACATTTGTATTGTATTCCCCACAAAATATCATACCTCGTATCACTATTTACTGATAAAGCAATGCAAAATGGAATACACACAAGCTATGGTAATGTAGAGAATCGTTAGTGCAAGATACTTGCAACGTGCCGCGTACACTGGCACAGTGCAAAGTACCTGTAATTCCTTGTAAATATGTAAATAAGATAGAGAGACAAGAGTATAAAAAGTGATATCATGAAATCAGTGGGTTTTAAACGAGCTCTACAGGGTCTTATTGATTGTGTTATGCAAGATCTGAACAATCGATACAAAACTATCAAGACATTAGAGGCGAAAACACCACCATATTCCAGTTGGTATTGACAAATGTAGCCAACCTACTGCAAACAGTGACCCTGTGGAAGTCACAGCACCTTACATCTACAGTAGGATAAAACAAGGCCCCGCGGTCATGACAGCACCTTACATCTACGGTAGGAGTAAACATGGCCCCGCGGTCATGACAGCACCTTACATCTACAGTAGGAGTAAACATGGCCCCGTGGTACTGACAGCACCTTAAATCTACAGTAGTAGTAAACATGGCCCCACAGTAATGACAGCACCTTAAATCTACAGTAGTAGTAAACATGGCCCCACAGTAATGACAGCACCTTACATCTACAGTAGGCGTAAACATGGCCCCGTGGTAATGACAGCACCTTAAATCTACAGTAGTAGTAAACATGGCCCCACAGTAATGACAGCACCTTACATCTACAGTAGGAGTAAACATGGCCCCGTGGTAATGACAGCACCTTACATCTACAGTAGAGTAAACATGGCCCCACAGTAATGACAGCACCTTAAATCTACAGTAGTAGTAAACATGGCCCCACGGTAATGACAGCACCTTACATCTACAGTAGAGTAAACATGGCCCCGCGGTAATGACAGCACCTTACATCTACAGTAGTAGTAAACATGGCCCCACAGTAATGACAGCACTTCACATCTACAGTAGGAGTAAACATGGCCCCGCTGTAATGACAGCACCTTAAATCTACAGTAGTAGTCAACATGGCCCCACGGTAATGACAGCACCTTAAATCTACAGTAGTAGTAAACATGGCCCCGTGGTAATGACAGCACCTTACATCTACAGTAAGAGAAAACATGGCCCCGCAGAAATGACAGCACCTTACATCTACAGCAGGCGAAAACATGGCCCCGCAGAAATGACAGCACCTTACATCTACAGTAGGAGAAAACATGGCCCCGCGGTAATGACAGCACAGCACCTTACATCTACAGCAGGAGTAAACATGGCCCCTCGGTACAGCTTGTTACATGGATAGATGGAGAAAACATGGACCCTTGGTAATGACAGCACCTTACATGTACAATAGGAGGAAATACCTTTACATCTTCATAACTAATACAAATAAGAGAAATATCACAGGCCACTTACCAATAAGGTTTAGTTGGAGAATTAGCTTTTTCTTTATATTGAGAGCCAATGTGGCCCCTTGAAAATGTGTACGTCTTAAGGGGTTATTAGGTGATCAAGCCTTTTAGTTAGAACTGGAGTCTTCACGGGTACAAATTGTACATCCAATATCCGAGATTGAAACATGAACACACTGGTAAATTTATAACCCGCATTGAAGATGTCAAGGTCAGGAGGCCACATGACAGTATTACATCCATCAAATAGTGCAAATCAGTTTGAAATTCCCAAGAATGGAGTATAATTGAGACAAAAATATGTTGTCAAGTTCTTAGATAGCCATCAGAACATGGTCAACAAAACTTACTAAAACATATTTGTTCATTAAGCAGTGATGCAGACTGAGAACTGTTGTCATTAAGTAGGGTTATGTTCCATAGGTCAGAGCTTCACTTCCCGGTCACAGATCTGACACTACCGAGACATGCACCCGTACTTAACAGTAAATACACACGGAACAAGTCAACGCACATCTCTATCCTCGGAAATGTAATAAAGTCAACGAGACAAGAAAACTAACTCTGACCCTCCTGTACATATGTATATTTAGTACACCTCTTTATCTTTTATGAAGGTTTAAACATGAAGCGCTGTTAGGTCAAATGTGAGTAAACAGGCTTCCAAATTGCTTAGATTGTTATATAAAGTATATATATATACGGTATATACATACACCTTACAATACACTACAGTGCTGTGTACCTGTAATGTGTTATAAGAGTAGCAACGGTATATATGTATACCTATAAATCTAATAACTTGTTGAGAATGAGCATACATACATAATGTGAGAAACGGTGGACCACCAGATGAATAGATTTGTTACACTGCCAAAAAGGAACCAAAACCGGGTCATTTATATTGTAAAGATAAAACCGCTGTCACAAAGAGCACCTGGTTCATTGTGGGCTTGTTTTGAATAGAAAGGTCCATCCTACATGTTAAACGTAGGCCAACAAATAGTCTGATGGCAACTGTAAACCAGCCTACCTATTGTGTACCGCTAATTGTGGTGAACCCGTGTTTACAGGGATAATACACCTGTTTACATCAGCGACAAAACGCCGGCCATTGTTTACAGGTGTAACAGATTCTGAAGGTTAAAACATATTCAAAAGAAAACTAAATGTTTGTCATGTTATCTGTTTGAACAAAACGGAGGCTATTAATTATTTTCATAATTTCAAAAAGTTTAGTCAATACAATTTCTCAAACTTTTTGTGTATGATTTATTATAGGAGATAACACAAATATATATATATATATATACAGTCTAAAAAATAACATCCATAAGGATCATTTTTCTGATTTATAATATATATTCACAATGATGTATGCAATTTGAGCAAAAGATTATTTTTAACAATATAATTCCACTGTCTGATATTTGCGTATGTCACCACACTACTTTGTTCATTGTATAAACTTCAGGTACATTACATATCATCAGAAGCGATCAGGACAGCTTTTTGTTTTAATATTTTTCTAATATAGTACAGCTTATGCCCAATGATCAATACCTAGTGTAGTATAGCACATTCTTTATTTGTAAATGATACATCGATTTTGATCAGGAACAAGTGGGTAGTAGTAAATGTTTAATGACACACTGATTTCTGATAAGGGACAGTGAAGTACTCCAGGTATACAGCCTGTTATATATGTAAATCTTTACCTCTAGGTATACAGCCTGTCATCTATGGTAAACGTTTACCTCTAGGTATACAGCCTGTCATCTATGGTAAATCTGTACCTCTAGGTATACAGCCTGTCATCTATGGAAAACCTTTACCTCTAGGTATACAGCCCACCTCTTAAACCTGAATTATAGTGATACAGCCTGTCATCTATGTAAATCCTCACTTCTAGGTATACTGCCTATCATCTATGATAAACATTTACCTCTAGATATACAACCTGTCATCTCTGGTTAACATTTACCTCTAGATATACAGCCTGTCATCTATGGTAAACATTTACCACTAGATATACAGCCTGTCATCTATGGTTAACTTAAACTTCTAGATATACAGCCTGTCATCTATGGTTAACTTTACCTCTAGATATACAGCCTGTCATCTATGGTAAACATTTACCTCTAAATATACAGCCTGTCATCTATGGTAAACTTTAGCTTCTAGATATACAGCCTGTCATATATGGTAATTTTTTACTTCTAGATATACAGCCTGTCATCTATGGTAAA